TGGGGTTAGGGTGACACTGGGGCCCCGCAGACATCTCGTGAATGCCTCGCTCCTCTCGCTTCGCTTCTCCGCGCTCGCTTTTTCATTAGGCCCGAATTCCGCGCGGCGCGTGCCGCGCGACAATGTTCTTAAAGGCTTAAGTCCTTTCCTCGCCCTTCTCTCGTCACTTGTCGATCAAAGTTCATGATCCTTTGCAGCATCCCGCGATATGATATCGGTATAATTCGTCTTTAAATATTACTCGCTCTCTCCCCCCCTCCCCTCCCTTTCCCTTTTTTCCCGAGCGTATCGCGAGCTAACGAGGAAGATGAGTAGTTGTATTATACTCTTGATATATGCCATGTGAAAATGATGATTTATGATGAATTCGTGGCATTTGCATTATTCTTTCTCTTTCCATTAATCGATTCTTCTGAGATGAAATGTGCTATAGATTCTGTCATTAATCAATCCTTTATAAGAGTATCGTAATGTGATCTGTATTTTATTTTAATATTTTATTTTTATCATTATTGACGCTTTGATATAAAGGAGCCTGTAAATATCGGTGTAAAAGAAAATTATTTTTTCAATGAAAATTATAAGAAATAATTATAAAAGATCATATTAATTGCATAAATATCTAAATAGTGATTCAAGAAATCATAATAAAGGCCGTCGATATAGCATAAAGTGCAACACATGATATTCTTCGGTAACAATGACATCTTTAATAACCGGTTCAACAACATTACAATGTCATAGGATTTCAATTACATACGCATTTCGAATTACTTGGTTTTTCATCAGTTAAATATACATACATACATGTGTGTCTATATGTGTGTGTGTGTGTATTTTTAATGGTATACGTATAGAATCGTGAATGTGTGTATATGTATCGTTTATGTTTGTGTGCGTGTGTGTGTGTGTGTGTGTGTGTACGTATGTGTATATGTACGCGCAAAGTGCGGACGTATTGCAATTAAGTACGCTATATGCTTACGGATAATTTCGAGATGCACGACCGACTCCTTTATCGCGCACGGATAATATGCATTATGCACGGATAATTAGATATATAATCCCGGTAGCCATGTTTTTCCTCCGTTCTCTCTCTCTCTTTCTCTCTTATGATATGTGTTCGCGTATTGCGTACTCTGTCGTAATATGATAAACTGAAGATCGTCGATCTCCGGCACTCCGTCGCCGTCCCCTTTCTCGCAACACTTGGGAATTAAACTCGGTTTTGAGGTGAGAAAAATATTGTTGAGAAACTAGCGTTCATATTTGCATTTTAAGCACCGTTCCCAACTGACAATGAGTACTGAGCGAGGTTTCAATATAGGGAATGCACTTTGTTTATCTTGCTCCATTTGTCATTAAAAAAACTGCTTTTCAATGATAATCTTTACGCAGATCTAATATATTTTAAAAAGTTCAAATTTTAAATTAAGTTTGGTATTTTTACCAAGTAGAGAGAGAAGAAACAACGATTCATCCGCAAAGTATCCGGTGATTATCTACAGATTATCGGTGCATGATTTAGGAATTTCTCTGTACACAATAGAGAAATTCTCGCCCTTTTCTCTCTCTCTCTCTCACTCTTAGTAATTACAACAAATAGTACCATCTTATAATCATCGAAACTTAACAAAATATCTGAGAACAGCGAGTCTCTCATATTGTTCAATAAGTAAGAATTTTAAAAGCAAAATAAAATCATTAATGTTGCTCTTCTTTTTGAAAAAGAAAGGTAATTAGATCGAGAAAATTTTCTTTTTAAATTGTATCGTAAAACCAATTCTTAATACATTTGCTACGTTTTCAGAAAAATCACTTACATTACCACTTTTTTTCGCGAAAAATGCGCGCATATCTCTTCTGTTTTATTAAAAAAAAAAAAAAAACTTATCTCGTTCTAAGAGAAGCTTTCTTCACTTTGCTTTTAAAATCCTCACACAGACTCTACGCAGACGAATGTCAGGACAATAATAGCTGTGCCCATCATTGGCCTTTAGTCCTCCGACGCAGAAGAAGGATTTTATTCTCACATACACCATCGTTTTCACAACATTCATAAACGATATGATACAAGTAGGCAAGATACACTGGATGTCATAGAACTATCGAAGACCACAAATATTAAGAGCTGTACAACAAGAGAAACAATGATTATTTCATTGTCTCAGACTTTGGACAGTACTCGAGTATTACACAAACAATTGAAAATGCAGCAAATTTTATAAAATAATCTTTACATATGTATAAAGATAGATAAAATAAAAATCTTCTTTTTCATAAAATTTTAAGCAGATCTTGTTTTAACTTGGATTTTAATTTGAGCTTTTATTACATTACGAAAATATCGGGCGAAAAATATGTAATTGAAAAAAATGATAACACAATAGTTCCGGGACGTCCAATACGCGACGTATCCGCGCGAAGGAAAAAGATTTCTTTCTTTCTCCCTTTCGCGCATAATATATATTTACAAGAGACAGAAGAAGCTACGAATAATTCTTTATACGATATACGTGTAACATGTGTATGTATAATCGTAGTGCAACCAATGCAACGTCTTGTCGATAATTATCGCGGTAAACCTGCATAAAAGGGGATCCCCCTCGTATGCAGGTTTACCATTATCGCAAGTTCTTTGACACGGAGTATCTCGATTTCACTTGCCTCGAATCGAAAAAAAGCGTGAGCTTTGTGTAATATACGATTATACATCTTAAAATAACGGAAAGAGACATTTACTGTAAAAATCTAAAGAAATAATTAAATAATACTTATAATTATAAAATATATTTACTTAATTTAATTTAAAAATGTCTAGCAGGTCAATCGTGAAGTTTGCATTTCTTAATCATTCCAAGGGCTCCATTGCCTTAATTTTCGCTCAATTTTTACCAGCGGAATCGCGACGATAATTATCGGCGAGTCATACGTTGCCACGTTACGATAAAATCCTTAACTTTAGAGGCCAGCTCATTGAAACAAAATGCCATTGCGGAGATAAAACGCTCTTTACTCTCTTCTTCAGCTATAAAACAAAAAAAAAACGTGTATAGCCTACGTTTAGGTACATATGTATAGCGAGTGTCTAATAAAGAGTGTGTCTACGTTACGTTAGGTCGGGTTACACACTTGCTTGGATCTTTTACGGGGAGAACTTTTAACGGTTATTCGCGCGTGTTCGTACTACTAATTCCTCGCGACACACGACGGGGGTAAAAACTGCAAAGTTCAGGCACTGTTAACTGAAAGTACCCGCGGAAATCGATCCTCGAGGATCCGCGCGACGACGGGCGTGTGATCCTGAGGTCCGAGATCGAAGCGAGCGAAGCGGATTCCCTGAAAATCGAGGAACCCTCCCCCCTTTCTCCTTTTTTTTTACGCGCCCTTCTCACCGGCGATGATCATCGTATCAATGTAACGGTGTTAGTTATTTAATTACCTATTTATTTATTCACTTTTCAGCGACGCTTCTTAGTATTGACGAGTAGGTACGGATGTATGCCGTGCACTCGGTCGTAAGACTTGACAGAGGTATCGAAAACTGTGAGAAACATAAGTTCGCGCTATTTCATCGTCTTCATAAATGTTTCAATAAAAATTCCCACGTTATCCAAGTTATGTAATGTTAGAAAAGAAGATGACATAGATAAGTAGCTGAAATTTTGTTGTTCTACACGAGACAAATTTTAAATATTTTATGTTTGAAATAATTAAAGTACATTTCTCTTATACGATGATAATATCTCGCGATAGTTGCTGCAAAATCTTACAGCCGAGTCACTCTGACACATGATAAAGTTTGATATATTTATATACATATAGAAATGCATGCCTACATCTAGATATCGCGCGATTTCTCGCATGAACCAAATTCGGTTCGAACGAAATATCTATAATTAGAAAAGTAATCTCATAAAAATACAGATATGTTTATACTTCGATTCGCTCACGCTTTGGTACTGCTATGGCTCCGTTATTGCGGCAAAGTACTCGATTAGTGTGAAAAAAATAAATAAAACGATTGAAGCAAAGATGTAAGAAAAGTCGAGCGTATGAAAAAGTATCTTTTTAAGATATTGTATATGTGTCGAATACACACTAGAAAATTATTAAAGTTATTAAATAATCGAGAAAAACACTTATATTCTATTTTATTAACATTTTAAAGAGACAATTTCCTTTTTTGAAGACGAAAAATAGATAAGAAATAGATGGAATATGAAATAATATCAAACATCGAATCAAAAATTTTTTATGGATTTCCTCGTGTGCTATCTTTATCAATAATAATTTGTAATGATTATACCAATCGTAAAAAACAAAAACAATAAAACATACAACAAGTAACGGTTTTGAAATCTAAAAGCCTCAAATAATTGCAAAGAATCCGATTTTCACCACTAAACTTTTTTGTAATAAAAAACTTATTTTAAAAGATTGACAGAGAAGTACTTTGTCAATAAA